TTGCAGACTATTGAGACCATATAAAACGAATATATGCAAAAAAATTTCTACTGTTGAGCCATTTTTACTTAAAAAAAAAATAATTAAAAATTTTCAATAAAATTTTGATGGAAAAAAACGAAGGGTCGCGAAGGGCCTAGGACCTTGAAATTTTTTTTGCAGACTAATGAGACCTTATAAAACGAATATATGCAAAAAAATTTCTACTGTTGAGCCATTTTTACTTGAAAAAAAAATAATTAAAAATTTTCGATAAAATTTTGATGGAAAAAAACGAAGGGTCGCGAAGGGCCTAGGACCTTTAAAATTTTTTTACACACTATTGAGACCTTCTGAAACGAATATATGCAAAAAAATTTCTACTGTTGAGCCATTTTTACTTGAAAAAAAAATAATTAAAAATTTTCGATAAAATTTTGATGGAAAAAAACGAAGGGTCGCGAAGGGCCTAGGACCTTTAAAATTTTTTTACACACTATTGAGACCTTCTGAAACGAATATATGCAAAAAAATTTCTACTGTTGAGCCATTTTTACTTGAAAAAAAAATAATTAAAAATTTTCGATAAAATTTTGATGGAAAAAAACGAAGGGTCGCGAAGGGCCTAGGACCTTGAAATTTTTTTTGCAGACTATTGAGACCTTATAAAACGAATATATGCAAAAAAATTTCTACTGTTGAGCCATTTTTACTTGAAAAAAAAATAATTAAAAATTTTCGATAAAATTTTGATGGAAAAAAACGAAGGGTCGCGAAGGGCCTAGGACCTTTAAACTTTTTTTGCAGACTATTGAGACCTTATAAAACGAATATATGCAAAAAAATTTCTACTGTTGAGCCATTTTTACTTAAAAAAAAAATAATTAAAAATTTTCAATAAAATTTTGATGGAAAAAAACGAAGGGTCGCGAAGGGCCTAGGACCTTGAAATTTTTTTTGCAGACTAATGAGACCTTATAAAACGAATATATGCAAAAAAATTTCTACTGTTGAGCCATTTTTACTGGAAAAAAAAATAATTAAAAATTTTCGATAAAATTTTGATGGAAAAAAACGAAGGGTCGCGAAGGGCCTAGGACCTTTAAACTTTTTTTGCAGACTATTGAGACCTTATAAAACGAATATATGCAAAAAAATTTCTACTGTTGAGCCATTTTTACTTGAAAAAAAAATAATTAAAAATTTTCGATAAAATTTTGATGGAAAAAAACGAAGGGTCGCGAAGGGCCTAGGACCTTTAAACTTTTTTTGCAGACTATTGAGACCTTATAAAACGAATATATGCAAAAAAATTTCTACTGTTGAGCCATTTTTACTTAAAAAAAAAAATAATTAAAAATTTTCAATAAAATTTTGATGGAAAAAAACGAAGGGTCGCGAAGGGCCTAGGACCTTTAAACTTTTTTTGCAGACTATTGTGACCTTATAAAACGAATATATGCAAAAAAATTTCTACTGTTGAGCCATTTTTACTTGAAAAAAAAATAATTAAAAATTTTCGATAGAATTTTGATGGAAAAGAACGAAGGGTCGCGAAGGGCCTAGGACCTTGAAAATTTTTTTACACACTATTGAGACCTTATGGAATGAGTATATGCAAAAAAATTTCTACTGTTGAGCCATTTATTTATTTGATGAAAAAAATTTTAATTTTTTGGTAAATTTTGACAAATAAACGAAGGGTTTCGAAGGGCTTAGGGTGCTGAGAATTCATATTTTGTCTTTTTTTGGATATAATGAAGTGATATGAAGAGAAAAATCGCTACTGTGGGGCGAATTAGTTTGTTTCTTTTTTTTGTGTCATTCGTTTTTTAAAACGTTGCGGACTTCAGCCTCATAAATAAGAGACAAGATTGATAAGGTGAAAAAAGAAATGGGGGATGTAGAAGTACAAGAGTTAGGATATAGAAAATGGTGGGACAATGAATGTGAAGAGAGTAGGAAAAGAATGAAAGGATACATAAAAGAATGGAGGAACGGTGGAATGGAAAAAAAAGAATACAACAGGAGACACAAAGATCACGAGAAATTATTAAAAGAAAAAAGAGAAATGGAGAAGAAAAGGTTTATGGAGGAAGTTGAAAAAGCAGTGCAAGAAGGTAAAGAATGGGAGGTAATAAACAAAGAAAGGAAGAAGGGGAAACCTATAAATAGGAAGATTAAAATAGAGGAGTGGACTAGGTATTTCATGGACATGAGTGGGGGAACGGGATACAAAGTGAGAGGGGAAGGAAGAAGAATGTTGAGAGAGGATGATGTGGAAGAGGTGACAAGGGAAGAAGTGGATGATGCGATAGACAAGCTGAAGAGGAATAAGGCGGTGGGAAAAGATGAGATGGAGGGAGAGGGTATAAAATATGGGGGAGAAAAGGTGAGAAGGGTGATATGGGAAGTAGTCAACGAAGTGTGGAAAGGAAATGGATGGCCGGAGGAATGGAAAACGGGCCTGATTGTACCGCTGGTCAAAAAAGGGGAAGGATAGAAAATAGAGGAGTACAGAGGCATTACCTTAATGCCAGTGAGTTATAAGGTATATGCGGAGGTACTCAGAAAAAGATTGGAAAAAGAAGTTGAGGAAAAAGGAGGTATTCCACACAATCAGGCTGGGTTCAGGAAGGGTATGGGCACCATGGACCATATATATACCCTCAATTACTTAGTAAATAGAAAACTGCGGGAGAAGGCGGGCAAATTAATAGCTCTTTTCGTAGATTTTAAGGCTGCGTTTCCGTCTGTGAACAGGAGTATTTTGTGGAGATCACTAAAGGAAAGAGGGATTAAAGATGGGATTGTAGAAAGGATTAAAGAAATGTATACGGATGTGAGGGCGCAGGTTAGAATAGGAGAAACAATTGGGGAAGAGTTCTGGCTGGGTAGAGGTCTCATGCAGGGTTGCCCTCTAAGCCCTGTTCTTTTCAGTTTGTTAATGGCGGATTTGGAGGAGAAGTTGAAACGAAGAGGAAAAGGGGGGATAATTTTGGGTAATGGTAGAATTTACTCACTTGCTTACGCGGATGATGTGGTATTGATGTGCGAGAATGAGTCAGGAATGAGGTTATTAATTAAGGAATTTGAAAAGTATGTGAGAGAGAAAGATTTATGGATAAATGTGGAAAAAACTAAGGTGATGAGATTTATGAAGAAAAAAGACGGAAAGCAGAATGAATGGAGATTGAATGGAAGAGTGGCTGAAGAAGTGGATGAATTTTGTTATTTGGGTTTTTGGTTTCATTATGGTGGAGGGCATGAGTTGAATGTAAGTAGAAGAGTGGAAAGAGCGAATAAGATAATGGGTCAGGTGTGGGGAATAGGTAAGAGAAGGTTTAAAAACGACTGGAAAAAGAGATTGTGGTTGTATGATACGTTGGTATGGTCGGTGGTGAGTTATGGTGTGGAAGTATGGGGATGGATGGAAATGGAAAAAGTAGAAAGTATGCATGAAAAATATTTGAGATGGGTTATGGGTGTGAGTGGAAACTGTCCAGGGTACATGTTAAGAGAGGAAGTTGGGAGAGAGAAAATGAGAGTGAGACAGAGAATCAGAGCGTGGAGTTTTGAGGAAAAGTTAAGACAGGGTGGAGGGTGTAGTTGGACTCGAAGGTGCTGGTTGCAAGTGAAAGAAAGAGAGCTGAAGGGAAGGAAGGAAATGTCAAGGTGGGAGATTAAAAGAATGGAGGCAATTAAAGAAGGGATCGGGGGAGATAGAAAATGGACAGAAGCGAGAGAGGGGTGGAAAGAAAAAGATAAGGAAGAGAGGTGGGAAAGAATAATGAATTCGAAATATAATAGGTGGTACAGGTTGGTAAGGGGAAGTGATATACCTCAATATTTAAAAAGAAAAAAGGAGGAGAGATGGAACAGAATGATAAGGTTTAGAATGGGAGAAGGAATGCTTGAATGTAAGTATTGGATGGATGAGAGTGAGAGATTGTGTAGGGTGTGTGGTTTTGAGTTGGAGGATTGGGAACATGTGTTGGATAGATGTACAAGTGGTGGAGAGAATGAAAAGGGTGTGGATGAAAGGATAAGATGGATACTGGATGAGAATGGGCAAGGTGAGAACTGGATGAATGAATTGGAACAAATGAGAACAAATAGTAAAATAAATTAAAAATAAAGAGGGTGGGAACGAATTAAAAATAAGTTTTAAAAATTGACGAAGCCAAATGGAACGGGAAACGGAAGCCCGGCACTGGCGAATAATTAGGAAATAAGATTGTTGTATTAGGTTAAGCAATTATATTAGGTTAAGAGATTGTATATTAGGTTAAGAATTTTTGTATCATGGTTCCTCGAACCCTGCATAAGTAAGCAGGGAGAGTAAATAAAGTATATATTTTTGGGAATTTGAAATTGATTTGAAAATAATTGAACTTTGGGGAAGAATTTTGTTATTTATAAAGTTCCTTGGGATTTTGACGAGAATTTTTTTTAAATTTGAAAGATAATTGAATTTTATGAGAAGAATTTTATCACTCTTGAAAATAATTGAATTTCTGCAATTATTTGTAATTTTTCCAAAATTGGATTTTTTTAGTGTTTCAAACAAAAATTTGAATTACAAATTTTTAAATTCTTTTATTTTTAAAATTGCTAATTTTACCATAAAAAGTTGATTAAAATGGATAATAATGAAATATTTATTTCAAAAAATCTATTTTTCCAAATGAATTTACATAAAGATATTCACAAAAAATGTATTATAAACATATTTTGAAGTTTCCATTATTTTTAGATACTAAAATATTTTTAGGATTTGGGAAGAAGTCAAAGTTTTGTTTAAAAATCAGATAATTCTTTCAATCTTTCATGGAATAATTTATTTTCAGAGTTATTTTTTTATGACCGGGAAAAATAATTCATGACCGCATGAATTTTTTTAGGAAAAAAATGGCCACCCTGTTTGAGTTAAATAAATTGATTTGAGGTAGAAAATAAATGAAATAGAATAAGAATGAAAAAGTTCGTGAGGAGAGGAAGGAATATTCTTTTTTTCTCACCTGTAAAGTGGAGTATTTAAAACATTCTGAATAGCATTCGTGAATCGATCAGCATTAATAGTTTCTAGTTTCATCAAGATGGCGATTTTTTCTCGTTCATAGTGATGCACATTGGAATGTTGATCTCCAAATAAAGGCACTCCAATCATAGGTACTCCGTAGTAAATTGCTTCCATTGTTCCCATTAAGCCACCATGTGTCACGAATGCTTTAGTATTTTTATGCTCTGAAATGAAAATTCCATATTGTTTATTTATCTTTTTGTTTTTATTTTATACAAGAAAATTTGTTTTCTCTGATTTTTTTTTTTTTTTTGATTTTTTTGATTCATAAATTCTGAACGTTAAAATGAATCTACTTTTGAAACAAAGTTATTCCCGATGTAAATATTTTCAAAAATTACTGAGTAAAATAAAATTGTCCATAAAGTTCTGTCGACGTTGAGAGTCGAAAAATATTTTCTTTGCAAAATCGAAAAAAAGAGAAACAATTTTCAGAATTTTAGGGACGAAATTTTCTATTGAAGTCTCTTACTTAAAATCTGAATTTGTGGGAGCCATGGTTGTATTTTTACATTTTCTGGCATTCCAGGAGGTAATTCTTTATCGTTTGCAATTTTCATTAATACTCGAACAGGCTTAATATTTCGGAAAGTTGTATAAAAGTGGTTTAAAATTTCTTTCGGGAATGATTCGATTTTGACCATTGATCCGAAGGAGACATAAATACATCCAGCGTCACTTTCGTCGAGCCATTTTTCTATTTCCTGTTTAAATATTACTTTTTTTATTATTATTTAAAGATTAAAGACTTTTTTTATTGTATATTTAAAATAAATATTTTAGTTTTAATAACAATTTTTATGTGGGTCCAATAATTCGGTTATTATTTGACTCAAATAAATTTTTTCTAATGTAGTCAATAATTTTTTTACACTTCGCTTTTATTTATAAATAATGTTTTCTATAGTCACGGTTGCCACAGGTCAGGGAATTCAGGAATTTTTATTAAAAGTATTGGAAAAAATAAAATTTTTTGAATTTATAAGAAAATTCTGAATTTTGGTGTCTTTTTTTGTTTGACTCATAAAACTATGAAATTGCAAAAAATTCAAATACAAACCCTTTAATTTTTCTATTTCTAATAATAATATCTGTTTAAATAACTTAATTCTTGAACAACGATCATAAAATTATTTTTTATAAATTATTTAACGAATAATTTTACTTAAAAATTTCAAAATTAATTGGATTTCAGAAGAGTTGCGTTTACAATCTTCGTAAATAGATGAACTTCAATGGTTTCAATTTGAAATTATAGAAAATATCAATTTTTAATGAATTTAAAATTAAATAGAAATTTAAAGAACAACTGACTACAGAAATTCAATTATTTTCAAAAGTGTTAAACTTATCTTCGCATAAATTCAATTATGTTAAAAAAATGTTTAAAAATTCTCATTAAAATTTCAATTATCTTTATAAATAATAAAATTCTTCTCAGAAATTCAATTATTTTCAAAAATTTGCCTGATTTCAATTATTTATAATATTTTAATATTTTAATAAAATTTTCCAAAAGAATGCAATTATTTAAATAAAATATTAATAAAAATTTTTGCATGAATTCAATTACTTATCAATTTTTTATAAATTTCTTCTCACCAATTCAATTATTTTGAATTTTTTTAATGAAGTTTCTCGAAGGAATTTAAATATATTCAGAAAATTAAAAAAAATAGTACTGAGATATGCAATTATTTCGAACCATTTAAATAAAATTCTTTTAAATATTATTAAAAAAAGTTTGATAACATTCTTTACAAGATTAAGTTAACAAAATTGCAATTTTAATAAAATTTTCCTATACAATTCAATTATTTTCAATACAATTCTTCTTAAGAATTCAATTATTTAGAAAAATTTGAATAAAATTCTTCACAAGAAATTAATTATTTTCATAAAAAATAATATTTTTCTCCGAAATTCAATTATTTTCACAAATAAAATTCTACACAGGAATTCAATACTACTATTTCAAAAAAAGTTTCCAAAAAAATTCAATTATTCAAAAATTTTTTTAATAAAATACTACGTGAACATTTAACTATTTTCATAAACAAAAGACAAAAATCTTGATAAATAACAAAATTCGTCAGAAAGATTAAATTATTATTATCATAAAGAACAAAGTTCTTCGCAGGAATTCAATTGTTTTCAAATATTTTCTATAAAATCCTTCGCAGAAAATCAATTACTTATAAAATTTTTACCAGGAATTCAATTATTTTCAAAAATTATCTTATAATTCTTCACAAAAATTCTGTTATTTTCAAAACTTTTAATAAAGTTCTTGACAAAAATTCAATTATTTTTATAAATAACAAAATTCTTCGTAAGAATTCAATTCTTTTCAACTAGAACACAATTTTTAGTATAGGAATTAAATTATGTAAACAATTTTTTATAAAATTCTTCGAAGAAATTAAATTATTTTTAAAAACTGTAATACAATTCTTGTCAAGAATTTATTTATCATTATAAATAATAAAATTCTTCGCAAAAATTCAATTCTTAAATAACAAACTTTTTAACCTGATTCAATTATTTTCAAACACTCCATAAAATTCTTCGCAGAGATTTAATTATTTTCTAAACTTTTTATAATTTTCTTTGCAGATATTTAATTATTATTGTAAAATGTAATACAATTCTGGGCAAGAACTCAATTATCATTGTAAATAACAAAATTCTTCGCAAAAATTCAATTATTTTCAAAAATAACGAATTATTTAGCAGGCATCCAATTATTTTTAAAAATTTCATAAAATTCTTCGCATAAATTCAATTATTTTAAAAATTTTCAAATAAAGTTCTTGAGAAGAATTCTAATTATCTTTTCATAAATAACAGAATTATTTTTAAAATATTTTCAATTTTTTAATGAAGTTTCTCGAAGGAATTCAAATATATTTAGAAAATAAAAAAAAATAGTTCTGAGAAATTCAATTATTTCGAAAAATTTAAGTAAACTTCCTTTCAAAATTCTATTTTTAAAAAAAATGTTGACAAAGTTCTTTACAAGATGTAGTTAATAAAATTGCAATTTTAATAAAACTTTCCTAAACAATTCAATTATTTTCAATACAATTATTCTTAAGAATTCAATTATTTTCACAAATAATACATTTTTTTAATGGGAATTCAATTATTTAAAAAAATTTGAATAAAATTCTTCATAAGAAATCAATTATTTTCACAAATAATAAAATTTTTCTCCGGAATTCAATTATTTTCAAAAATAAAATTTTTTACTGGAATTCAATTCTTTAAAAAAAATTTTTAATACAATTCGTTTCAAGGATTCAATTACTTTCATAAATAACAAAACTTACAGCAGAGTTTTAATTATTTTTTGTACAATAATTTATAGTTAGAATATTCTGATGATATAAAATAATGATTTTATCACTGTCATCTTAAATTTCTTCATGTTTTATAATATTATTCTCAAAAGTTATTGAAATTCAGAAGGTTTGGATTTAAAAATCATAATTCCTATAGAAAAATAATAGATAATGATTAAATATTTATTTAAAAAAAAAAATCATTGATATTTTTGAATAATTTTACAACTTAAAAAATTCGTAAATAAATGTAATTCAAATAAATTTTTTTGAAAATTTAATAATTTTTGGAGTGAATCAGAATAATTTTCAGGGTCAGGAAAAAAGTGAAAAAATTTTCTGGAAATCAGGGAAAAGTCAGGGAGAAACAAAATTAAATTTTTGTGGCAACCTTGATAGTGAACTATTTATAGCAACAATTATTGTCATCAACTGTTTACTACAATTAATTGTTTATGAATTTTGTTTTCCATTATTCATTATGTTTATATTGCAACTCGTATTTCTCATTTTTTTTTTTATAAAATAATATTGTAAAAACCTGCGGCAATTTTTTCTCTTTTTCTTCTTTTTCTTCTATGTGCATTCCGCCAACTTCAATGATTGACGGCGTTATTGGTCGAATTCCATGTAATATAAAATGTGAATTGACAAGAATCAATGCAACTTCTTTCTGCAGATCATAAACAGTTGGATAACCGGGTCCAAAATATTTTTCCACATATTTGTCCTGTATTTTGATACTGTGATTGAATAGAATTTTCATGAAATTCGAGTAAATTGTGTTGACCACTCTTTGCCAGAATGTCATTTTTTGCGAATAATTCACCATTCCCGATGGTACGAATGAGGGATTTATTGGATTTCCGAATGGATCGTTCATGAAGTCAAATAATGCATTACTTGACATTGCAACAATTGGCGCATTTAAATGGCGACCGAGTGCGAAATAACATGGTGCAAAAAATAGCTGTGGTAGGGGAAAGGATAATCGAAGAATTAGAATTCAAAATATTAATATTTATTTTTTCATTAATTAAATTAAAAATGCTAATTTCAAAATGCTACTCTTGAAATGCTCATTGAATTAGAAATATTAATTTCAAAATTTTAATTGACCTAGAACTATCTATTAATTTCAAAATGTTAATTGAATTACAAATATTAATTTAAAAATTTGTATAAATATTTCAGGGCTCGAACTAGGTCCGTAAATCCCGTAAAGGTTCGTAAAGGCCGTAATTTGAAAAAGGACGAAAACTTCGTAAATTGTATGATATAATTTTGGAAATTTTAAAAAAGTTAGAAATAATTACAGAAATTTAATTATTTTCAAAAGTAATAAAACTCTTCATAGAAATTCAATTTTTCTCAAAAATTTTTAAAAATTCTCGTCAAAACTCCAATTATCTTTATATAAATAATAAAATTCTTCTCTGAAATTCAATTATTTTCAAAAATTTCCCTGAATTCAATATACACTATTTCAAAAAAATTTTTCAAAAAATTATGTAAAAATTTTTTTACAAAATTCTTCGAAAAAATTTAATTATTTTTAAAAATTGCAATACAATGCTTGTCAAGAATTTAATTATCATTATAAATAACAAAATTCTTTGTAAAAATTTAATTATTTTCAAAAATAACAAAATTTTTACGAGGAATTCAATTATTTTTAAACACTGCATAAAATTCTTCACAGATGTTCAATTATTTTCAAAAATAACAAATTTTTTAGCAGGCATTCAATTATTTTTATAAATTATCCAATTTTTTTGTAAGAATTCAATTATTTCCAAACAGAACAAAATTCTTAATATGGGAATTAAATTATGTAAACAATTTTTTATAAAATTCTTCGAAGAAATTAAATTATTTTTAAAAACTGTAATACAATCCTTGTCAAGAATTTATTTATCATTATAAATAATAAAATTCTTCGCAAAAATTCAATTATTTTCAAAAATAACAAAGTTTTTAACATGATTCCATTATTTTCAAACACTACATAAAATTCTTCGCAGAAATTCAATTGTTTTCTAAACTTTTCATAATTTTCTTCGCAGATATTCAATTATTATTGTAAAATGTAATATAATTCTGGGAAAGAATTCAATTATCATTATAAATAACAAAATTCTTCTCAAAAATTCAATTGTTTTAAAAGATAACAATTTTTTTAGCAGGCATTCAATTATCTTCAAAAATTTCATAAAATTCTTCGCAGAAATTCAATTATTTTTAAAATTTTCAAATAAAGTTATTCAAAAGAATTCGAATTATCTTTTCATAAATAGCAGAATTCTTTACAAAAATTCAATTCTTTTAAAAAATAACAACATTTTTAGCAGGAATTCAATTATTTTTTAAAATTTTCATATTGAATTTTTCACAAAAATTTTATTATTTTCAAAACTTTTAATAAAAGTTCTTGACATAAATTCAATTATTTTTATAAATAACAAAATTCTTCGTAAGAAAATCAATTATTTTAAAAAAGAACAAAATTCTTAGCATAGGAATTAAATTATTTAAAAATGATTTTTACAAAATTCTTCGAAGAAATTCAATTATTTTTAAAAATTGTTATACAATTCTTGTCAAGAATTTAATTGTCATTATAAATTACAAAATTCTTCTCAAAAATTCAATTATTTTCAAAAGTAACGATTTTTTGAAGGCATTCAATTATTTTTTTCTTGGAAAGAATTTGAATTATGTTTTCATAAATAACAGAATTCTTTCCAAAAATTCAATTCTTTTAAAAAATAGCAACATTTTTAGAAGGAATTCAATTATTTTTTAAAATTTTTCATAAAATTCTTCACAGAAATTTAATTATTTTCAAAAATTTTAATAAACTTCTTTGAATTCTCGTTGAATTTTGTAATAAAAATTGATTTAAACATGAATTTCAGTTAAAATTTGAGATAATAATTGAATAATATTAAAAGCATTGTAGCGTAATTTTTTTGCAATAATTGAATTTTGAAAAACTTGTTTTAGTTTAAATTTAAAAATAAAAAATAAAGAAAACTAAAATTTGTTTTTTGAATTTTCTATCGATTAGTGAATAAATTTAGGGCCGGTTTCACCAACACTGATTAAAATTTAATCAATGATTAAATCCTTAACCGATCAATCTAAACTATTAATTGGAGTTAGTGAAACTAGTCTTGTATCGGTTTTTGAAAATAATTGAAAAATTTCCATCGATTTGAAAATAAATTCGAATTTTTTATACTTTTAATCAACAATTCTGTAGAATTAATTTTTTTTGAAAAAGTTTAATTGAATTTTTTATTTTTTGCAATATATTTAATTGAAGAATTTTCGAATAATCGAAATTTCATGTAAAATTGTATTGTAAAGAAATGTATTTAAAAGTTCTTTTTGAGAATTTAGAGTAGAATTTTGGTTAAAAATTGTAGAAAATAATAATTGAATTGAAATGATGATAATAATTTTGAAAAAGTAGCAGTAAAAATATTCTTATAATATAAAATAATGATTTTATCACACGGTCATCTTTAATTATTAAAAAACATGAAGACATCGATTACTCCGAGCCGAAGACTCGGAGTTATCGATTTCTTCATGTTTTATAGTTATGAAAAAATTTTATTTTTTAGTTTTAAGTAAAATTTTCTGTTATTTGAGAAATTATCGTAATTATCATAATTATCGTAATTTTTAATTTTTGGTCCGTAAAGTCCGTATTTTTAAATACTTTCACTGGTTCGAGCCCTGGTATTTACAAAATGTTACCTCGGTGACAATAAGATCGTATGGTGCATGAGAAGATTTATTAATCAAATCATTCACCGATTGTTGTTTAAAGATGTCACAAAATTTATGTCCAATATCGTCAGCCACCAATGTTATCCAAAACATATTTCTCATTGGCTTTATGAAACTTTGAAAACTGACATTATTTTGTTTAGCTGGAAGAATGTCACGAATGCTAATGTGCTTGTAGTTCTTGGTTTGTTGATTATTAAGTGGAAAATAGCTAATTATATCCACACTATGTCCTTTCTTAATTAAGCCATTCATCAATTTTTCGAACATTATAAAATGACTATTCACATTCGATGGAAATATTCCCAATATTCGATAGCCATTATTCAGTTCGAAATTCAGTGTAACACAAAATAATGTGAAGCACAAGAAACTTGGAAGACGCATTTTTTTATTTTTAACACTAGATTTTTTTGTTTTCACTTGTTTTTTTTCAACTGCTACTTTTATTTTTTTATTATGAAAAAAATCTGTTTTACTTTACAAATTTTTGGTTTTCACTTGATGCCTTTTTTATTTACTGCTTCTTCTATTTTTTCTTATCAAAAATTTCTGCTTTACTTTATAAATCCTTTTGTTTTCACTTGATCCCTTTTTTCCACTACTACTTCTATTTTTTTATCAAAAATTTTTGCTTTACTTTAAAAATCTACGATAGAAAAGTTAGATTTTTATTTGAAAATATGGTATATGGTAAATATGAATACTTAAAATTAAAAAATTTGGATGAAGAACAAATTATTTATTGAAAAACGAATCTTTTGGATTTTTGAAGAGAAACAGGAACTTGTCTTATTCGTAACACAAGAATGCTTTCGATCTCCTCCTTCTTACATTACTATAGATTTATTTTCAATAAAGAGAAGTTTTTGCGCTTTAAACTATCCACGAGATTTCCCCTTCTTACAAAAATAAAACATTTATTCAGTTATATACAAAAAAAAACACTCATTATATTCCGATAAGATTATTATACACTCAGTATCTCAAACGCAGCTTCAAATGAGGAAAATATTATTTGAATATTCTAATTATTAATTTTAAGAAAATGATAATCAATGTCAAGTTCACACACAAACTGGGAATTTTTTGTTTTCACTGAAAATTTTGTAATCAATTTTATTCTACGTCAAATTTATTCATATCTTCTGTTTTGAAAAATATGAGAATAAACTAAAACTTGTTTTAGTTTAAATTTAAAAATAAAAAATAAAGAAAACTAAAATTTGTTTTTTGAATTTTCTATCGATTAGTGAATATATTTAGGGCCGGTTTCACCAACACTGATTAAAATTTAATCAATGATTAAATCCTTAACCGATCAATTCAAACTATTAATTGGAGTTAGTGAAACTAGTTTTGTATCGGTTTTTGAAAATAATTGAAAAATTTCCATCGATTTGAAAATAATTAATAAATTATAAATTAAACATGAAATTGTATTAAAAATTAATTTTAATAATTTATGACGCTATTTACAAATTGTTGAATTAAATAAATATTTATTTAAATAATATTTTACTTAAATTTATCATTCGGCGGTATTATTCTATTTTTTTAAAATACTACTTTCTTTTTTTTTTTGTCTTGAAGCGCGTAACTATTGAAAAAAATAACGACTAATTAAATGTTATCTGACTTTTTTCGAAACTGATATTTTTTCATTCTTGGGGAATAATAATTTTGTGGCAATTTTCGCGAGAATATAAATTAAATATAGAAGGAGAAGAATGCAGATTAGTAAAAATCCATAAACGTCAAGTAAAGCTATTTGCCACCATGACAAATCCATTCCTGGAGATCTTAATGCATTTTTGCCATTTTTTATGATATATCTAATCCAATATTCGGCAGTGTCAATTGGTGTCATTGGTCGATCTTTAAATGTCTCCGAAATACGTTTCGCTGCTTTTCTGCAATTAATATTTACATTTTATTAATTTTTTCACCACAAAGTTTTTTTTCTTTTTTTTGTAATTAATAATTAGTATTTTATTTTTATCCTTTTTTTTACTTTTGTTAGATTTTATTTAATTTATTATTTAATTTAATTTTTTTTATTTTTCATTTAAGATTTTATTAATTATTTTTCCCCATTTTCACTATTTCTCGGTGTTAATATTCACTATTTTTTTCCCCATTTTTCACTGTTGTGTTTATTGTTATTAATTATTAATATTTAGTATTTTTTTTCATTTTCACTATTTACTGGTATTAATATTTACTAATATTATTAACTTCGGTAAAGACGAATAATGGAGAGTTAAAATAAAATTCGTACCCCAAGGGGAATCGAACCCCTTATATTAAAAATAGTAAAATAATGATAGCAAAAACAATTTTGCACTCACTTGTAGCTGAGATCGGTGAAAATTTTACTCAAAGCATTAACAAGGTCTCTATCGCTAAAATTGTCAATGTCCAATTTTATTGCGATATTTTTCGAAACATATAAATCAATGTTTACAAATTGATCGGCAAAAAGTGGTATTCCTATCATAGGAACACCACAATAAATTGATTCCTGTGTTCCCATGAGGCCTCCATGTGTTATAAATACTTTCACATTCGGATGTTCTGCAAATAAAATTTCATTTTTATTTATTTTTTTTTATTTCTTGTTGATTAAAATCACAAATTGATGGATTTTTTTAATCAAATTTTTTTTTCTATTAAACGACATTTTTTGCAGAAAATAAATTATTGTTTATAAATTATTATTTATGAATCATAAATTATTTATAAATTATAAATTTTTCTCAAAAAAAATTATTATTTATAAATTATTATTATTATATTTTCAAATTATAAATTATTATTATTATTATTTTTAAATTGTAAATTATTATTTATAAATTGTAAATAATAAATTAATTGTTTAGACTGTGATTAATAATTTTGCGACTCACGTAAAATTTTCATTTGCGGCATCCAGGGAAGTACGTGAACATTTTTCGGCAGTCCCTCTGGTAAATCTTCCTTTCTCGGTATTTTCATTAAAACACGAACAGGTGCAATTTTCGCAAATGCTTTGTAAAAATTATCGATTATATTTCGTGGAAATGTCTCTATTCTTACCATCGAACCAAAAGTAAAATAAACAACACCTTCATTACTTTCGTCCAACCATTTCTTTAGATCCTAAGTGGTATTGAAAGAAAAACAAAATTACAATAAATTAAAAAATTGATTTAAATTTAAATTTATTAAATTTAATTTAAATTAATTACTTATTCAATTTAATAAATAAAAATTAATTAATAATAATTATTATTTAAAATCAAATTAATTTAATAAATTAAAACTAAAAAAAATTAATTAATTAATTAAATTAGTTTTAGTCTTAATTTAATTAATTAATTAATTTAATTGGCTTCCGTTTCCGGTGCTAATTGAGAGTACACGTGTTTACGCGGTAGTGTCGATTTTTTTGATTTTTTAGAGGATTATTGTGAAGGGAGGGTAAAGTAAGTGATAAAAAGTGTGCAATAGTGTGTGAGCTATAAGTGGTAAAAAAAGTATATGTGAGTGAGTAGCAGTATAAGTGAGAAAAAGGTAAAAGAGTGAACGTGGTGAGCGAGTGTAAGGTTAGAAAGTGTGAGTGTGGTGGGAGATTGGGTGGCAAGGGGAGGAATAGTAAGGGGGTAAGGTAGGGAGATGTCACTGTGGGTGACTCCGCCTAAGAAGAAGGAAAAGATAGAGTCGGTTGCGTCTGAGAACGCGGAGACAAGGACTAGGAAGGCAGGTTTGTCAAGTGAGATAGTGGGTGTGGAGACTAAAGGGGAATCCACAAGTGAAGCAGGTAGCGATACCGCTGTGTTTGATTCACCGGGTAAAGAGAAAGTAACCAAGCAAAAAGCGGACCGCGGAAAATCAAAAGAGGAAAAGGACCCAAGGGGTAGGAAATCGAATAAGGAAATAAAGGAAAGGGGGGTAAGTGTTGAAGAAGTGAGTTGTATGAAAAATTTTATAGAAAAAGGGGGAAAGGGAAAGAAAGAAATGGAAAGGGTTGATCAACGAAAGGAAGTAGAGAAGGAAGGAACGAATGAAGATCGGCGTTTCGATGAGATCATGGGGATGTTAAGGAAAATGGGGGAAGATTCGAGAAAAGGGTTGGATAATGTGAAAAAGGAATTGAAGGAGACCAGGAAAAGAGATGAAGACAGAAGCATGAGAATGGATAAAAAGATGGAAGGTGTCTGGGTGGAAATGGCAAAAATTAGAGAAATGTGGACAAGATATGAGGAGGAGTGGAGAAAGGAAAAGGATAATGTTTGGGAAAAGCTGAGTAGTTTGGAAAGGGGCATAAAAGACAAAGAGGAAGAAAGGAATGAAGAGGTAAGAAAAATAGAGGAGAGGATCGAAGGATTAGAGGGATTGGAAAGAAGGGTGGAAAGTTTGGAAGAAAGAGAGGAAGCTGGAGGCATAGAAGGGATACAGGGATTAAAAATGGAGGTAAAGGAGCTTAGAAGGCAAATGGAATTCGTAGAGAGGGAAAAAAAGAGGAAAAACATTGTAATAAAGGGAATAAGGGTAGAAAGAAGGAATGGGAGAGAGAAGGTTGAAGGGGTGTTAAACGGGATAGGGGTAAAAGTGAATATTAAAGAGGTGAAGGCATTAGGTGGGGAGGATGAAGAGGGTAGGATACGGATGTGGATGGTGGAGTTGGGAAGCGAGGAGGAAAAATGGGAAGTCATGAGGGCAAAGAGCAAATTAAGGGGTACGGAAATACGAATAGATGAGGATAAAACGAGAAGGGAGAGAGATATAGGTAGGCTGCTATTGGGAAAGGCATGGGAGGCAAGAAAAGAAGGGAGTACAGTAAACTGGGGAAGAGAATGTTTGTGGATTAAGGGTATAAAGTGGGTTGTAAAGGAAGGAACGGAAGAGGTGGTGGAAGAAAGAAGAGAGAGGGGGTTTGGGGTGAAAAGAGTCGAGAGAGAGGATATAGAAGGGGAGAATCCGGAAGCTTCAAATTAATATTCTGGAATGTGTCGGGTTTAAATAATAAAGAGGAGGGTTTTTGGAGAGATTTGAAAAAATGGGATGTTATAATTTTGAGTGAAACATGGGTGGAGGGGAGGGATTGGGAGAAAACAAAGAAAAAATTACCGAGAGGGTATAGATGGACAATGCAGGAGGCGAAAAGGGATCACATAAGGGGTAGAAGCTCTGGAGGGATGATTTCGGGGGTAAAGGATAATATTAAGGAAATTGAGAGCAAAGAGGAATGGAGAAAGGAGGATAGTATGGTAAGAAGAATTAGGGTTGGGGGACAGAATTTGAATGTGATGGGGATTTATAGAAGAAGGGGGGATAATAAGGGTTGGAAAGTGGTAGAGGAATGGATGGAAAGAGGGAAAGATGAATTAACTATAATTGGGGGGGATTTTAATGCATGGACGGGAGAGTTAGGTGGGGGAGATTGGAATCCGGAAGAACAACAATATCGAAGGAAATCGAAACATAAGGGGGTAGATAAAGAGGGTAGAAAAATGTTAAATTTAATAAGGGAGGGTGGTTGGTCGATTTGTAATGGGTGTACAAAGGGGGACATGGAGGGAGAGCTTACGTTTGTGGGAAAAGGTCAGACGGTTATTGATTACGTAATAGCTGATGAAAAGACGAAAGAGATAATAACGAAATTAGAGGTAGGAAATGAGTCAGATTCAGGTCATTTCCCACTGATAGTTGAAGTAGAAGGGCCAAGGGAAAGAATGGAAAGAAAAAGGGCAAGGCCAACAGGGAGGGATAAAATGGGAAAGTGGGACTTACAGAGTCTGATGGAGTTTGAAGGGAGGGTTAAGGAGAAAAGTAGTTATTTTGAGGAGGGAGGAGGAGTAAATTATAGATGGGATAGATTAAAAAGAGTGGTTGGCGAGGTAAAAAGGGAAATGAAGAAGGAGAGAGAGGGAAAAATGGGAACCAGAAAGGGATGGTGGGACGAAGAGTGTGAGAGGAGTAGAAAAGGGTTGAGAGAATGTATAAAAAAGTGGAGAAAAGGGGTAATGAGTAAAAAAGAGTATAATAAAAGGCACAAGGAGCACGGGAGGTTGGTAAAAAAGAAAAGGGAGGAAGGTAAGGAGCGTTATTTAAAGGAGGTGGAAAAGGCAATTGAAGAGGGTAGGGAATGGGATGTCATTAATGGGGAAAGAAAGAAAGGAAGAGAAATAAATAAAGAGATTAAGATGGAGGATTGGACGAACTATTTTAAGGGATTAAGTGGGGGAATGGGACACAGAATAAGAGGAGAGGGAAGAAAGAGAGAAGTGGAAAAGGAGCAGACAGAGATAAGCAGGGAAGAGGTGAATGAGGCGATACAAAGGTTAAAGAGAGGGAAGGCAGCAGGAGAAGACGGGATGGAGGGTGAATGTTTAAAATTTGGGGGGAAAGTAGTAAGAGAGGAGATGTGGAGGATCGTGAATATGGTGTGGAGTGGGGAGGGATGGCCAGAAGCATGGAAGACAGGGTTAATAGCACCGATTATAAAAAAGGGAGAAGGAAAAAGAGTGGAAGAGTACAGGGGAGTGACGTTGATGCCAGTTGGTTATAAAGTGTATGCAGAGATAATAAGAAGGAGATTAGAGGAAAAGGTAGAAGAGCTAGGATGCATACCACATAACCAAACTGGCTTCAGAAAGGAAATGGGAACGATGGACAATATTTACGTCCTGAATTATTTAGTTAATAGGAATTTGGGGAAAAGTAATGGAAAGTTGGTGGCTTCATTTGTGGATCTAAAAGCGGCATTTCCATCAGTAAACAGGGGAATTTTATGGAGGGTTTTAAGGGAGAGGGGTATAGAGGATGGGTTGGTGGAGAGGATAAAGGAGCTATACGAGGACACCAAAGAAAGGGTAAAAATTGGGGAAAGTTTGGGACGGGAATTTTGGTTGGGTAGAGGGCTAAGGCAGGGCTGCCCCCTGAGTCCAATATTGTTCAACATGTTGATTGCGGATCTGGAAGAAAGAATGAGTAAGAGAGGGAAGGGTGGTGTGATTTTAAGGAATGGAAGAATATATACTCTAGCATATGCGGATGAGGTGGTTTTGATGGCTGAGAATGAAAGTGGAATGAAATTATTAATGAAAGAGTTTGAGAAATATGTGAGAGAGAAAGATTTAAGTGTGAATGTAGAGAAAACGAAAGTGGTAAGATTCAGAAAAAAGAATGATAAGGAAAAAATAGAATGGAGGATGAATGAGAAGAATGTGGAAGAGGTGAATGAGTTTTGTTATTTAGGGTATTGGTTTATGTGCAATGGAAGGCAGGATCTGAATGTGGCTATGAGAGTAGAAAAGGGGGGCAAAGCTATGGGTCAGGTATGGGGAATTGGAAAAAGAAGGTTTCAGGATGATTGGAAGAAAAGAGTGTGGCTGTTTGATGCGTTGGTATGGTCGATAATAAGTTATGGAGTGGAGGTATGGGGATGGAGTGAAATAGGAAAATTGGAAAGTATGCATGAGAAATTCTTGAGATGGACGATGGGGGTAAGCTGGAATTGCCCGGGGTATATGGTGAGGGAAGAATTGGGTAGGGAGAAGATGGTCACGAAACAGAGAAGGAGAGCGAGGAATTATGAGGAAAAACTGGAGCAAGGAAGGGGAAGTAAAATAGCAGGGATGTGTTGGAGACTAATTAAGGAAGGAGAGGGAGGGTGTAAAAGGTGGGAAAAGGAAAGAAAGAAAGCATTAAGGGAAGGGGGGAAAAGTAGAGAAAAAGGGAAAGAAATAATAGAGATTTGGGGTAAATGTGATAGGGAGGAAAGATGGAAAAAGGTAATGGAGTCCAGGTACAACAGATGGTACAAAATGATAAAAGGAGAGGGATTGCCGAAATATTTGGGGAGGAAGATGAAGTATGAAAAGTGGAGTAGGGTGTGTAGGTTTAGAATGGGGGAAGGTATGAGAGAATGTAAGTACTGGATGGAAGAGGATGAAAGAAAATGCAGAATATGTGAGTATGAAAGAGAGGATTGGGAGCATGTTTTGGAAAGGTGTTGTAGTGGACGAATGGAGGAAGGGCAAAGCGTGACTGAAAGAGTGATGTGGATATTGGATGAGAATGGGCAGGGTGAAAGATGGATGAATGATTTAGAGGAAGTGAGAAGAAAAAGGAAAGAGGGATTAATTTAGTGTCGTGACGTGGGGAGGGATCATTAAGTCATATGACGATGCCAGAAAGGGCATAAGAGAACTGGAAACGGAAGCCCTGGCACTGGTTAAAGAAGCGCAATTAGTTTTTAGTTTGTTTTTTGGATTGTAAGAGTAGGTAGTTTTAAGTTAGGTATTATAAGTTGCGGTAGATTTTAAGAAAAATGTATAATAGGTTAAGTTTTTATGTATGGTTGGTAATCTCGAACCCTGTATAATGCAGGGAGAGTAAATAAATACTTTAATTAATTTAATTAATTTAATTAATTTAATTAATTAAAAATAATTTAATTTTTCATTACAGTTTCTCCAAGGATATCAAATTGAGACAAAAAAAAGTATCAAAATTGTTGCGATGCAACAATTTTGATACTTTTTTTTGCCTCAATTTGATATCATTCGAGAAACTGAGAAATTTAAAATTAATTTAAATTATTTTTTTAATTCTTTGAAGAATTGTTAGTAAAAAATTAAAAAACCTTGGATAATTCAGGACTGTCGTCTTGAATATGAAGACCTCCGACTTCGATGAGCGCTGGGGTAAATGGTCTCACACCATTTAGAGAAAAATATGAATTCACAAGTATCATTGCGACTTGAGATTCAGCTTCCCTAACGCCAATGGCATCGGGTCCAAGATATTTACGAATAATATCAGTTTGTGATTCAGTCAAGTAATTGAAATAAATTTTATTATAATTTGCACTAATAAGGTTGTAGAGTCTCGATGAAAAATCCAAATTTTCCTTATAATTTATTAAATTATTCGAGACGAATGCCAAATTTTCGGGATTTGAAATTATATCGTGCATCCAGGGATAGAGAACTGCGGAACTCGCTCCAATTACCGGAACATTCCACAATGAACCCAGTGCCAAAAAACAGTGCGCTCCGAAAATCTGAATTTTTTTTTCAAACACAAAAATAAAAAATTAGAAATTTTATTTGGAAACAAGAATCAAAAAATTTATTTGTAAACACAAAAATCAAAAAGTTTATTTGGAAACAAGAGTCAAGAATTTTATTTGCACACAAAAATCAAAAATGTTATTTGGAAACAAGAGTCAAAAATTTTATTTGAAAACATAAAAATAAAAAATGTTATTTGGAAACACAAAAATCTAAAATGTTATTTCGAAATACAAGAATCAAAAATGTTATTTGGAAACACAAGAATCAAAAAATTTATTTGTAAAAAAAAATAAAAAAGGTTATTTGCAAACAAGAATAAAAAATTTTATTTAGAAAAAAAATAAAAAAATTTATTTGAAAAAAATTACCGGGAAAATGACAGGTAACCGTTTACAAATAACATTTTTAATTTTTGTTTGGTTATTAAATAAAAAATGATATTTAGAAACACAAAAATCTAAAATGTTATTTCGAACTATAAGAATCAAAAATGTTATTTGGAAACACAAGAATCAAAAATTTTATTTGGTAAAACAAAAATGAAAAATGTTATTTGGAAACAAGAATCAAAAATTTTATTTGGGAAAACCAAAATGAAAATATTATTTGCAAAGAAGAATCAAAAATGTTATTTTGAAAAAAAATCAAAAAATTTATTTGGAAATACAAAATTCAAAAATGTTATTTGGAAACAAAAATTAGAAATTTTATTTGTAAAAAAATCAATAATTTTATTTCGAAATACAAGAATCAAGAATGTTATTTGCAAATAAGAATCAAGAATTATATTTGAAAAATTCAAAAATTTTATTTGAAAACACAAAAATAAAAAATTTTAGTTTTGGAATTAACAATTGTCAGTCTTTAATTGAAGTAAAGTTTAATACTCTTGAATGTATTGTGTTTTTATCATTTGTTTTCAAACAATGATGAATCAACTGAAACTCGAGAATTTTTTCCTCTTTAAAGCGAATCGATATAAATTAATTAATCGTAAACTATAAATTATTGATAAGACGAAATGAGTCTTATTGAAAGAGAGAACAATGACTTGCAGATTTTTCTAACTAGTTATTCTAAAGATACTGTGATTATGCAATTTTTCGTATAATGCAGTCTGCTAGGAAATTGTCATTGTAGAAAAAAGTCGTTCTCACAATGACATAACATTTTATTAAATTATCTAATAATAAATTTTTTTCACCAAACTTGTCATTAATGTGTATATAGTGTTTATAATTTTAAACAGCTTTTAATTTTCGTTTTTAATTATTTTTTCAAAAAACTTCTAATTTTTAATTATGATTACTTTTTTAAGAGCTCCTAATTTTTAAATAGAAATTATTTTTATTTCTATCGTAATAAAAAATGTTTTCAATTACTTTTTGAAAAATCTATATTTGCTTTTTCTTTCCTATTTTTTTTTTTTAAATTTTATTTTTAAATGTTTTGAATTTAAAAATCAATGAAATTCTAATTTAGTTGTAAGGTAATTACAATTAAATTTCTAATTTAGTGTCATGAGAAATTAAATAATAAAGAAAATTAATTCTATAAAATTGTTTTAAAAATTAAAAAAAATATGAATTAAAAGTCATAACTTAATTTGTAAATTTATCTCAAGATTCAAAAAAATAAAAATCGTTACTTATAAATTATTGTACAAAAACAAATTTTTATTCATGAAAAATATTTATTTTTGTTAGAAAAATGTTGTAACTTTTGTAATTTGTATATATTTGAATATGAAATAATTTATTATCTGCGAAGAATTTTATTACAATTTTTTTTAAATAATTAAATTCTTGCTAGAAGTTTTATTAAAATTGTATTTAAACTAATTGAAATTTTAATACCTATTGTATTAAAATTTTCGAAAATAATTAAATTCTTTATAAAAATTTAAATAAACTTGTTATTTAAAATTATTAAATTCTTATAGATAATTTTTATCAAAATTTTTAAAAATAATTGTATTCTTTAAAGAAATTTTATTACAATTTTTGAAAATAATTTAATTTTATCAAAAAATTCCATTAAAATTTTTCTTTAAATAATTGACATCTTTCGAGAAAGTTATTAAAACTATTTAAAATAATTCCTGCGCTAAACTTTATTATTCATGAAAATAATTAAGAGAATATTTTCGAAAAATTTTATTAAAATTTTTGAATTTTTGAAAATAATAAAATTCTTTCAAGGAATTCAATTAAAATTTTGTTGAAAATAATTGAATTCTTACAAAGAATTGTATTAAAATTGCATTTAAAATAATTGAATTCTTGTGAGAAATTTTATTTGAAAGAAATAAAATAAATAAAACTGTATTTCAAATAATTGAATTTTGGATGAAGAATATATATAATTTTATAAAAATTTCCGAGAATAATTGAATTTTTTCGAAGAATTTTATTAAATTTTTTCATTAAAAATAATTGAATTCTTAGGATGAATTTATTTGAAATTTTTTTAATTAATTAAATTTTTTTGAAGATTAAAGTAAAATTGTCATTGAAAATAATTAGGGTAGAGTGGGGTAAAAAAGCCACATTTTTACTTTTGATGCTGTAAAATCTGTATTTAAAATTATTTTCTCAAATTTCCAATTGTTATTGAAAGTTTAGTTATTAAGCTTGAAAATTCTTGACGGAAATATTTTTTATCTCATGAAAGGACTAAGTTATAAGAGTTTTACGGAAGCACTGTAAGTGGCTTTTTTGCACCACCTGGTGGGGTGAAAAAGCCACCCTACGATTTTAGCAAAACATGTTATCAATTTAGGTATTTTTATAGTTTTCCTTTATTTATATGACAAATAGTCTTATTTGAAAAATATTTTAATAATTATGAAAGAGTTTTTAGCAAGCAAAATTGAAAATTATATAGAGTTTACCTGTTTTCGATTTGCACTGCCAATTTTTCGTACCTTTTTTAGAAGTTCTCTTTAAGTTTCACCACAGATAACATATTTCGTTGCAACCGTTTATTCATTGTTTATTTTTTTAATGCACTTTGAACTACTTTTTCGTCGTGTTTAATTTATTTTATTAAATAAACACGAGAAATTTTGTAAAATAAGAAGGTTAGTTTAAATAGAAAACAAGTGAATTTCACAAAATATTCAATGGATTTTTTGCCCTGGCTTTTTTACACCCAAGACTAGTTATTAAAAAAAGCAAAAATAAATTGTTAATTCAGTTCAATTTCCAAAAATTAACATTGTATACGTTTTCGGTATGCTTTTCTCCTTATGTACAAACATTTATTTTTATTATTCGTTCACTTAATCAGACTGTAATATGTTTGAAAAGTTCACCAAAATGTTTTCAAAAAAGCAACAAAAAATTAAAATTACAATAAAAACAATATTAATCTAGGTACAACATTCAAACTAGATTCAAAAGTTGCGTATTACCTAATAGTATTTATATTCTAAACAGCTGATAAATCGGCTTAATAGTTTTTAAATAAAACTCAAATGGCTTTTTTACACCATGGCTTTTTTACCCCACTCTACCCTAAATTCTTTTTGAAAAATTTTATTAAAATTGAATTCAAAATAATTGAAGTCCTGCTAATAATTTTGGTTCCCATGAAAATAATTTAATTTTTGCGAAGAATTTAATTAAAATTTTTGAAAATAATTGAATTCCTGAGAATAATTTTCGTTCTCATGAAGATAATTTAATTTTTGCGAAGAATTTAATTAAAATTTTTGAAAATAATTGAATTTCTGAGAATAATTTTCCTTCTTATGAAAATAATTTAATTTTTGCGAAGAATTTAATTAAAATTTTTTGAAAATAATTTAATTGTTTTGAAGAATTTTATTAAGTTTTTTTTTAAATAATAAATAATAATAATAATAATAATAATAATAATAATTAATTAGTTAATTAGTGGATTTTTTAAAATTCTGAATCTGAAATTATTCAACAATTGATGTTGACATTTGAAAATAAAGAACTTTATTCGTTTGTTCGAAAAAAAAAATTATGAACGAAGAAAAATAATCTAGGATGTTTTTGTAATTTTATCCCTTTATTATAATTTGTAAAAGTAAATGTAAAATTATTTAATAATTTTTAATTTTCTTCTGCTTTTTTTTGTTTCCAGGTCAGTCAATGAAAAAATTCTTTCGGCGGAAATTACTTGTGAGTAGAAAAAAAGTATTTTCTTTTAAATTTATGTGTAAGGCATGAGGTTGAATATCTTACCTCGACAATAATTGCATCGTATGGCGGATCATTGGGTGGATTTTGTAGGAAATTGAGAATTTTTTCATCACCCATACCCTGGCAAAGTTGATTGCCAGCAACATTAGCGACAAAAGTCACTGGTGTTCCGGATGTGTACAATTTCATCTCGTGATATGTTAAATTATTCACGAGTCCTTGCGTGACTTGAGGATAAACAATATCCGAATAATTAGGATAGGGCTTTTTCAATGGGAACGAACTTATCACGTCCACTTGATGCCCCATTTTTGCGAGACCTTTCATTAATTCACCGTACATCATGAAATGACTTTTTGCATTGAAGGGAAAAATTCCCAAAATACGATAGGCATTGCAGTATGAAAAGACACTTATAATTAGTGTCAAATGTGTCGTTAGTTGCATTTTTAACTTTTTTTTTCTATTCACACTTTTATTATTAAATTAAAATTAAAATTTGTTTAAATTAATCTTATTTAATTATTAAATTTAATTATTTAATTTAATTATTCAATTTAGTTTTTTATTCAAAAAAGTTCAATTTAATTTTATTCAATTATTCCATTCAACTATTCAATTTAATTATTTAATTTAATTTTTTCAACATAATTATTCAATTTTATTGCTCGATTTTATTGTTCAAATTTATTATTCAATTTATTTATTCAAGTTTATTATTTAATTTCCTTTTTTTATTTAATTACTCAACTTAATTATGCAATATAATTATTAAATTTTATTATTCGATTTTATTATTCAATTTTATTATTCAATTATTTCTTAAATTTGATTATTTAATTTACTTTTTCAATTTACTTATTCAACATAATTATTCAATTTTATTGTTCGATTTTATTACTCGATTTTATTATTCAATTTTATTATTCAATTATTTCTTAAATTTAATTATTTAATTTACTTTTTCAATTTAATTATTCAAGTTAATTATTCAAATTTATTGTTCGATTTTATCATTCTCACTATTTAATGTAAATTAAAGTTCTATTAAACTGAAAAATAATGAAAAATTTTTAATATAATTTACAAAATGCAATATTATGTTTCACTTGCAATGCTTCTTTCTAATTTTTTATTCCGTCAGTTAATTTTTCTAGTAGCGTAATTTTCATTTGTATTTCTTTCCTCATTATACATTTCACAATTTTTTTCTGGTAATTCTTGAAAATTAAAAATTATTTTTGATATTAAATTTTAAATATTTTTTTATGAATAGAATTGGTCTATTATTTTTAACTTGTTTTATTTATTTATCAAAACAATACTATTCTTCTATTTAATGAATTCTTCGTTGTAATAATAAATTTTTAAAAATGAGACACTAAATGGAAATTTGTTTTCAGAATCGAAACATTCTTCCTTAGCGACTGATCGGTTAAAGAAAAAATTTTTTTGCATATCCCCTCTAGTGAGAGATTTTTATTTTCAAAATTAGAAACATTTTTTTTAGAATAATATTGGAATGACTCGTTAAATGACAGTCCAACTTTGACAATATATTTAGGAATGCGTGCAAGTATTCATTAATACTTGCGCAATGATGAATGAAAATTAGTGGAAAATTGTCTATCATCAAAAATGTTGCTTCGAATTAAAATAGTAACAACTGTAAAATGTAACACAAAAAATTAAATTAATTTCGGTTTTTTATTTATTTGTAATTATTATTGTTTTTATTGTTATTGTTATTTTTATTACATAAATATTAATAATAAGAATAATATTAATAATAAAGTAATAAATTTAATAAAATAATAAATTAAGTAAAAAAAAAGAAATGGAAATTAATAATAGAATAATAAAAAAAAATTATAATTGAACAAATATAAACAAAATAGTGAAAAATGACAATAAAAGTTTATCAGGCATGATTTTGATGTTTAGACAATTTTCATTTAATATTAGAAAAATTACTGCAACTGCAAATTCACTGCAGTTAATTAAATCTTAAAAGTTCCAAATCTCCTGATGAATTAAAAAAATGATAATCTTTTGTAATTTAAAGGTTAAAGATTAGAGTTCAATATACCGCATATGGTGACATTTACGTAAATTGTCAACCAAATTAATCTCTTAACAGATAATTATAAAGCCAAATTGAACATTTAAAAGATTATTAAAAATTATTTAAAAAAATGTTTAATATTTCAAAAAAATTTCAAATTACTAAAGAAAATTTTATTTTTTCGCAAAAGGTTCAATTTTTCATATGTAAAAATTAAAAAGATTCGTATAAATATATAAATACAGAAAGAATAAATAAAGAAATATATAAATTGAGATTTTTAGCATCACAAAATGAATTTTATTCTCTATAATATCTTAGAAATGTTCTCCCTAAGTTTGAAATTAATTCGCAATAATTTGATAACTAGAATATAAATTTAGATAAAAAAAAATAATTTTTTCTTAAATTAAGTAATTAAAAAGTAACAAGTAACGAGTATACAAAAATTTATTTATTTTCCTTTTTGTAGTTATTCGATATTTTGAATTTATTGATTTTTTTTCGAATTTTGTGGATTTGAAAATTTTTTAAGTACCATTTGTAAAATTTTTTTGACAAACAATGCAATTAACGTGATGATGATTGTAGCGGAGAATAACATAAATGCGTAAACGTCCAACAGTTCGACCTGCCACCAATGTAAATCAATAGCCGGTGATCTCAAAGCATTTGGTCCATTTCTAATGACATATTCAACCCAGAAATTGGCAGTATCCAATATGCTCATTGGCCTATCTCGAAATAGGAGAGATTCAAGTTTCGCTGAATTCCTGCAGGAGAATTACATTTTCAATTATTTTTGTTTTTAATAATAGCTGATATTGTTAGAAAAATATTTAAATTAATTGTTTAAATCTAAATAAATAATAATAATTAATAATTAATGATTAATTAATTATTAATAAACTCCTTTGACTGAATCAAAACGCGACCTATTCGGATGCGCCACTTTCGGACTCTCTTGTTAATTAATAATATATAGTAATTATAAATTATAATATTCCATTGCTATAATTATTTATATAATTGTATATTTGATTATTGAGGTAAATATATATTTATATATTTATCTTAGTTTGTAAAAATCACTATTTTATTTATTACTTTATTATTTGTAAAAAAAAATATTTTACTTGTATTTCGGATCGGTTAGGATGCTGTTTAGAGCTTCGGTTATTTTTTTCTCATTAATTGCGTTCTTGTCCAAACGAATGGCCATATTCTTTTTCACATAAATCTCCATATTTGGCAGTTGATCGGAGAAAAATGGCAGACCTATTAATGGCACGCCATAGTAGAGTGCCTCCAGAGTGCCCATTAATCCTCCATGAGTGATGAAAACCTTCGTGTTATTGTGTCCTATTCAAAAAGAAATGATAATTATTTTTTTTACAAAATAATTTTCTCCAACGCTTGCTCTGAAAGAAGGACTTTTCTTGTTAGAAAAGCGTGGCGAAAGTAGAACTTTTTTCAACTCCTCTGAACAGAGTGACGAAAGTGAATCATATGACGTTACTCTTTTTTCCTTGAAAATTAAGAAAATAATTTTCTAAAAGTACAGGGCTCGAACCAGTGAAAGTATTTAAAAATACGGACCTTACGGACAAAAAATTAAAAATTGCGGACCACTTACGGACCAATTACTGACAAAAATGTAACCAGTCAGAGTCAAAGAATTTTACTTAAAACTACAAATTAAATTTTTCATAACTATAAAACATGAAGATATCTTCATGTTTTATAATAATTTATGACCGAGTGATAAAATCATTATCAATTCAATTATTATTTTCAAGAATTTTCAAATCCATTTCTTTACAACATTCAATTTTACGTTAATTATTCGTAAATTCTTCAATTAAATATATATTAGAAAATAAAAACTTAAATTAATACCAAAAAATTCAATTAAACTTTTTCGAAAAAATTAATTTCAAAATTCAATTATTTCTAAAAATCCACGCTATATTGCTTTCAATATTAAATTATAATCTAAAATTTTAACTCAAATTCATTTTTATGAAATGAAAATCAATTTTTATTAGAAAATTCTACAAGAATTTAATTATTTCAATACAAAAATAAATAATTTATTGAATAATTGAATGTTTCTTAAAATTCAATTTCCACAAAGAATTTTATCAACAAATTTTTAAATAATTAAATCCTTTCAACAAATTTTAATAAAATTTGAAGAATAATTTCATTTTTTGACGAATATCGATTAAAATTGTATTAAAAGTATAATTGAAATTCTACAATGAGTTTTTTTATTTTTGAAAATAATTGAATTCCTAAAAAGAATTTTATTATTTTTGAACAATATTTAATTTTTGCAAAGAATGTTATTACTCTTAAAAATAATTGAATTTCTGCAATAATTTTGTAATTTTTCCAAAATTAAATTTTTTTTCGTGTTTTTAACTAAAATTCTTCTCCATAAACATTATTTTTAATAATTTTTGAAAAAGTTCTTTGAGAATTTTTAAATTCATTTATATATATTTCAATTTTACAAAATCTCAATTATTCGTAAATTCTTCAATTAAATATATATATATATATATATATATATATATATATATATATATATATATATATATATATATATATATATATATATATATATATATATATATATATATATATATTAGAAAATAAAAACTTGAAATAATTTTTTAAAACATCCATAAATTAATTTTCTCAGAAAAATTAATTCCACAGTTAAAAATATGATAAATTCTAGATTCTCAAATATTTCAATTTGAAACCTATTTAAAATTCAATTATTTCTAAAAATTCTCGCTCTAATGCTTTTAATATTCAATTATATAAATATTAAAATCGAAAATTATAACTGAAATCCATTTTTAAATCAATTTTTAATAGAAAATTCTACTAAAATTTAATTATTTAAATACAAAAATAAATAATTGATTTTACTGGCGAGAAAACCTATTAGACGGGTGGTCCAGGCAAATGCGAGTACTCCTAATTTTCAAGTCGCTCTGTAGAATCAAAATTTAGTATTATAAGGAAATGTATATAAGAAATATTTGTAAGAGAAATTTACGAGATGTAAACAAACACTTGTATAGCCAAGATTGTAGGCTTAAGACGAGTGTATAAACAAATAAATAAATAAATAAATTGAATTTTCATTAAGAATTTTATCAACAAATTTTTAAATAATTGAATTCTTTCGACGGATTCTAATAAAAATTTTAAGAATAATTACATTTTTCGACGAATTCGATTGAAATTATAATTGAAAGTCTGCAATGAATTTATTATTTTTGAAAATAATTGAATTCCTAAAAAGAATTTTATTATTTACAAAAATAATTGATTCCCCATAAGAATTTTATTATTTATGAAAATAATTGAATGATTGCGAAGAAATTTATAAAAAAAATTATAAATAATCGAATTCC